TCATTTCTTAACAACCTTCCTACAATAATTTTTGAATCACGTCATTTTAAAAATGCAGAAATTTACACGCGGTACTTCCCGCTGCAAGAATAAAATTTCGCGTACTTTCTCCAAAAATTACACTTACCTGTATGTTATTTCAAGTTTTTTTAGGGATTAATATCGCTTTTTGCACTGCTTTTTCAAACCCAAAATGGAGAGGTCTATAAAGATCCATAAGAATCGTATTATTTTCACTTCAGGAACTGAAAATATAGAAATGTGTGAATTCCCTCAAGTGAGCACGGAAAAGCTAGTTGTCGCAAATTTGCATTCAATATTCAATATCAGCATCCCAATCTGAGTAATCACCTCAATGACCTTCCTTTCCATGACAGAGGTCTTTCAGAAAAAAATTCTACAATCTTTTGGCCATCAACCAAAACTCCGGATACTTTCCATAAATATCGGTATCTAATAAATAACCATAGAAACGTATTTGCAATGGCCAGTGACCAAGAGAAGTTTCGGATCGATGCATCACAAAATGTTCGTTCTGTGTTAGATTAGGCCATCACCAAGGTGGTATCGAATTCTACGTACCAAGTTTATCTAAGATACAACTTATATTCCCGATTACATGTTCAGATTTTTTAATATCACCTCATTACGTCTAACAAAAATGGCGTCAAATATGTTGGCTCTGCACTTCACCAGTGAATAGTCCATAAAAGATTGTGCGGTACAAGTTAGCTCATACTAATGCCAAACAATTGACATATACCCTGCCACACCTCCCGAAACTCCTAATTTTTATCATTCAAAAAATATTCAATAGATGGTCAGGAGTCTTTAAAACCTCAATCAACGGTATGCGCTCGATTTTTTTTTCATTTTTCATCCAGAGCTCCTTGACAATGGATAGATTTTGAATAACTACAAGCCCTTTCCGTTTTTGGGATAGAAGTAACCTTCTGTCAAAATATCATCAAAATTCGAACGACGTTTTTCAAGTTGTAGCGGGGTGGAGAATAAGCGGACAGACAGAAATACCGACGTAAATGAGTGGTATGCATATCATAACAATATATACGAGCCACTTCCCACTTCAGTTGGCCCACTTCAAGATTTGTACCAAAATATGCCTTTATAAACTAAACATGACGAAACTATTTACTTCTAAAACAATTTATTTTCTCAAAAACATTTTAGATACATTCTAGTCGTAAAAAATACATATTTGAAATCACTTAGACCTATAACTAATAGAACATCTGAGCAAATAAACAATGTGCGAATAAATGCGCGAAGTTAACAAAGCAACAATTGAAAGATTACCATTGGGTAACATCACCTTTATTTTTATTACGGCTGAAATTCTTTGGGGCATAGTGTTAACCAAGTTTTGGCAAAAATTTGGTGTAAAACAATCCCATATTTCTTGAAGCTTTTGTCTCAGTTCGGTGATTGTACGATCAGGATGTTGTCGTAGAACCTTTTTCATCTAGTGCCACAAAGTTTCAATAGGCGACAGATCTGGACGGCTAGAAACCCATTTCAAAAGTGGTACATTATTTTCTTCCATCCATTTTATAGCCTTTTTTAAGGTATGGCACGCTGCACCATCTTGCTGAAACACAAAATCGTGGCCGAAAAGCGATTTTTCTAAAATTGCCAAATATTTGTTTGTATCCACATTTCCATCAATAAAATGAAGTTTTCCTACTCCTTTGTATGACATACTGCCCCAGACCATAATGGATGCTGGAAATTTCACTTTTCTCTTCAGACAGTCAACATGGAATGCTTCATTTTTTTGCGTATAACTCTACTGCGACTGTCACCAACACAAACTTCGAATTGGGTCTCATCACTCCATTGTATTGCACACCATTGTTGAGGTGTCCATCTAAGCCGAATTTTCTTTTGCAGTGGAGTTAATTGTGGCTTTTATTTGGCCTATAAACAAGTTGTGCAACTTTAGGGTTTTTACTTCACTTTTTTTTATAAGAAAACTTACCTTGCAAGTGCTAAATCCCAGTTTGTGGGCCTCTCTATGAGTTGTGGACCTCGAAATTCTCCTTCCAACAGCGTCACTCCACAGAGCACTTAATTGTAAATAATTGGTACGCCTGTTTTTCACGATTATTCTTCTTAATGCTCTTCGGGCGGCATTTGTGATATTACTTTTTTTTCACATATCGTGTCTTAATATTAACTGAACCAGTTACGTTATATCTTCTAACAATATTTCTTACACTGTACCGCGATAAGTCCAACAAAGTTGCAATTACTGAGATTGATTTCCGAGAATTAAAAAATTCAATAATCAGTAACCGAATTTTCTCACTAATAACTATTCCTCTACCCATTTTGAAAACCTTAACTACCCAAAACTATTTTAAACGTATTCTGATAGCTGTGATTAATAAAAACAATTGTCATGGCTTTTATTTTTCACAGCCACCTATGCGTTATAGACTTATTTTGCATTGAAATGAAAATAGGTTGATATAGCTGTAATTGCAACATGTGTTATTTTTATGCTGCAAATTTGATTAGGGAGTGATAAAGTTGGTGTTTTCTACTATATACAGGTATTATCAAAATATTTATTGTTAATATTTTAAACCTATCACACCCTGCTACATTTGTATTATTTGTGTTTGATAAGAAAAAAACTAAGATTTCAGTAGTTGGGCCAACTGAAGTGGGAAGGAGCTCGTAGGTTGTTACTTAATGATGGGCCATAATTCAAGTAGAAAAATTCATTCAAACATGTGTCCTAAAAGGTCTGGCGTCCAAGATACAAGGTGCTAAAGATATAAAAAAATGATTTTTGAAACAGGAAAAAAATAATAGAAAAGCATCATGGACAGCAAAAAATATGTGATAACAGAATAACATTCACTAGCAACGATCAAAGTTAATTTGATCCTAATTTAATAATTTTTCAACATGTAAAAGACATTGCGAAGCGCCATTTACCAATAGAATCGACGACTGCGATACACTGAACCGCAAGCCTATATAGATCTTAATCCGGGAATTGAAGGTCAGTCATCTCGTGACCGCTAACTGGAGATTTCAGCTGTGGTTTACTTGTCATTGAACAAAATAGTAAACACGTTCTGATTCCGACCAAAGACAGCTGGTTAGTGCTTTTTGGCTACTCCTCGGTATGTTCTGGGCTTGGTCACTCAGACAACGAGCGAAAGCATAGCAATTATACACTATACAAAGTGTGTGATCTGTCTTTTCCCTCGAAAATGAAGTAACGTACGACGAGATACCAAGAGACAAAAAAGTTGTATCACTAGCTGCTTAATCCGAAATAATATAGATTCTTCAAAAGAGTCAGTGGCATATATTTTTTGTCCATCTAATTCGTGAGATGGCCCACCGAGATGCAACAGGCACTTATAATTATCTTTTAGCCAGTAGTACTAACTTAACACCTTATAGGAGTAAGCAATACTGGTAAGATTCACCATAGTTGTCACAAGGATGTTTGAGATATTGATAAAAACCCATTTTTTGGGACCTGCATCTTGAAAACCAGACTTTTATATGAACTTTTCTACTTAAATTTGGCTCAAAAATGCGCCTTTGAAATTACGTCCTATCATTATGTAACACAATGAATATAAAAAACAATAAGTTGGGCTAGTGCAAAATGTCCGGAGACTACAAGAACTGCATTGGAATATGACTATCAAATGAAAGTCATCTTGAATATCCCATGATACACCAAATTGAAATCGGCACGGGTATTACGTATCTTGAAAAGTGACATTTTGTAGTTTTTTGTGACAACGTAGTTTTTCTACAAGACGTCAACTTAGCACAAGCTGCTGTACACTTGTTCTGTACTCGTTTTGTAGCTGTACGTGTTGCCTAAGCGTCATGATGCTTCAGCTATCAAAGGTTAGCTCTGATGTGATGTAACATCTGCTTCAGAGATGGCATTATTGGAGGTCTAAGGTGGAAGTTGTACATTATAGCTGGGAGGGTACGGGCAAAACGGCAGTGCATAGCCGCTTAGTGAGCATTTGTGTGCTAATAATCTGTGTTGATGATAATTCCATTGGCTTCTTACCTCAAATACAATTACTTGAGATGTAGTCAAAGCTAGAAATTAATTGCGTGTTCATTTTTTCTTATTCATTCTGGAAATTACATATGCAAATTAGCTGGATTTAAAAAATGAGAGAGATAAGAAAAGACAATCCCAAATATTTATGAAACGTAAAAAACTTATGACATTACAAAAGGATAACCTATAAATAACCATATTTAGTAATATTTTGAATATGCTATTTGCACACTAAGAACTACCTAGTCTGCAAGATAATATTTTGTCGGTTTTTTTTTTGACGTTTTTCAGGTTTTTTACATAATACCCCTGCCGATATACGTACCGATACAGCTACTTAGGAAACGAGTTCCGCCTTAGATTACAGATAATCAAGAATTTTAATGTTCAACAATAACTAAGCTACTGCTATGCCAACAGGCTTTGATCCTCAGAGCTCTTCATGACACCGCCGTCTCTACCTTTACCAGTTCTAACCTTAGACAGTTCAAAAACCGGATTTCTTTACGCTCTTCAGCAGCCGCGGAACCCTGGTATTTAGGCTTCTGCTTGCGTGGCTGCTTCGGTATAAAGAAAAATAACTTCGTAGCTTGTGAGTGAAAGGTAAAGGGTATGTATTTTCCTAGCTGTACTTCTATCAGTTCATCCGCAACGTGCACGGATAGGAATCAATGCTAGCAACATAGTATTTTGTAAATTGAAGCCCATTTATATTGAGAATAACTAGAAATGCGCAGGAAATTGAATGTACCTACTTGTATAGAATGTGCGTCGTTCCGCGAATTGAGTTTGCTTGGTTTAATCCGTTTTATATGCGACATAAACCTTCCCAAACATAAAGAGGTGTTTACTTGGGTATCTCTTTATCCCCGATAACTAATTTTATAGGATGTCACCATAAGATTACTTTTTGTTGGCGTATTATCAACGTTTCCTTCGCACTTGTGTACCACAAGCTATGAAGTTTTGTTTTGCTTGTAGAATAGTTAGATAGTGGAGTAAAAGCATTATGTCAACTCGAAAATTAAAGAAAGAGTTGAGCGGTAAGTTATAATAATAATAATAATAATAATAACGTCTTTACTGGATAACCCGGAGGGACATAAACAGCGAAGTTTAGCCAAGGCTACTCTTACACTTAACTGTTTATGTCGGTTACATCTGATGTTCAAAACATGGAAAAAAAAATATATATAAGAACAATGAAAAAAAGAACACATATATACCTAATTATAAAATACAAATAGACACAATCTATATCTGTAGCAGAAATGCGTATTTAATCAATAGCGAGCAACATGCTTTTAGTATGTTTACGAAAACTTTCCAAAGACATCAATTTAATACTGTTGTCCAACTGATTATAAAATAGTGCTGCATTATATGTAAATCCTCGTTGGAATAATGCAGAAGTGTGTGGGGTGGTTCTGATACTATAACGATTCCTAACAGCCCTGTCATGCACTTCGTAATTAAATCTTAACTTAGCTCTTAGATATTCAGGCTTTGATGACAATATTATTTTATGAACTAAAACTAAGAATTTATGTTTAACCAAACTTCCTAACCTAAGCCAGTTCAATTCCCTATATTTATCACTTACGTGATCGTATTTACGCAACCCATAAATAAAGCGAACACAGTTATTTTGGATGATTTGAAGACGATTTTTGGTCAATTGATCCAAACATGGATAATAAACGACATCACAGTAACTGAGCATTGACATCACCAAAGATTCGCACAGTTTTTTTCTCAGCTTAAAGTTAAGCAAGTAGCGATTGGAATAAAGAGCCCTAGAACACAGGTAAGTTTTTTTCATCAAATTAGCTATTTGGCTGCGGAATCTTAATTTTGTGTCAATTTCCACTCCTAGTACCTTAGCTGTTTGAGTATGCTGTAATGTTATGCCACCAATAGTCAGATGGAAAGAATCTTCGACAGTTTTCCTCTTCTGATCAGAACAAAACAATAACACTTGTGTCTTATCTGGATTAATAGTAAGATTATGTTCCATAGAAAACTGATGTACCTTATCTAAATCAAGCTGTAAAATGTCTGATGAATTTTGCGTATCTGAGGCGTCGAAATGGAATATTATTTGAGTATCGTCAGCAAATGTTTGTATCCCTGAATTGTCAACTGCTTTATGCAGGTCACACGTGTAAATCAAAAAGAGCACAGGTCCCAAAAGTGAGCCTTGCGGAACTCCTGACGGAATAGTCGTAATATTGGATTGACCGTTATTGATTGGGACACATTGCGTGCGACCGGACAAATAGCTACGGAAAAAACTGACAGCAGCATCATCGAAGCCTATATACCTCAGCTTGGCGCACAAAAGTTTATGATTTATTCGATCGAATGCTTTGGAATAGTCAATTGATACCACTGCTGTTGCTAACTTTTTGTCAACTGCCCTAATAACATTATCACAAAGATCTAACAGTGCCGAGGTGGTACTATGGTGCTTCCTGAAGCCCGATTGACATGACGATATTATTTTTAGTTCCTCTATGTAATGGACAACTTGTTGCTGTATAATTTTTTCCAAAATTTTCGATAGCACCGGCAACAAACTAATGGGTCTAAGATGCTTAAGTTCAGTAGGTTTAGATATTTTAGGGACAGGTATAATTAGAGCCAGCTTCCACAGCTTAGGGTGGTAGCCATTTTCCAAACATGAATTTATTATGTGGGTGATATGGAAAAAAGTTACGGGAAGACTTACTTTGACCATGGTTAGTGAGAGGGTGTCAATTCCTTTTGCATCTGATTTGATATCTTTGATTGCCTTCAATATTTCCACCGGCTCGACAACTCGCAAAGAAAAACGATTTCGATTGTCCAATTTGTTGCTGTCATAAAACCGACATACATTTTCTGAGACACTGTCGTAACTATAAACTGACATAAAATAGTTGTTAATACTATTTGCATCGGCTATCTCATCTGGTATTGTTTGTTTTGAACGAGATTTTATGTTAAGCCTATTCAGCCCAGACCATAAAGTTTTTAGATTATTTTGATCAGTTAGATTCTGAATATACTCTTTCTTTTTCATTCGAATTTTATGTAGTGCCTTATTCCTCAGCTGTTTGAATTTATCAAGGTCTTCAAGTGATTTACTAGCTTTATATTTGGTAAAAGCTGAATCTTTTTCTTTGATAAGCTTTTTCATTCCCTCATCCAACCAAGGAGATGGCGGTTTATTAACACGTAGTGTCTTAATCGGAGCATGTTTGTTATAAATATTTGTGAGGGTTGTCGTCAGATGTTCCACTTTAGCATCTATGTTATTCATAAAATATAAGTCATCAAGATTAGAGGTACACAGATCTGAAATGAAAGCTGCCTCATCAAACTCACGGAAGTCTCTCACGCATATGAATTTTTGATGCATCTTGCCAGCACTAAGTTTCAGAGTACACATAACAAGCTTATGGTCAGATATTTCATGAGCATCAAGTACCAAACAGCCAGTGACAAGTTCCGGCTGATTAGTGAAAAATGGATCAAGCAATGAAGCGGTGTCGTTTGTCACCCGTGTAGGAGATGTAACTAACTGTGAAAAGCCAGTCACCTCAAAACTCGAGGATATGATATTAGTTGAATTCAGAAAATCGTGATTCAAATCACCCAAAACAATAACATTGTCAAAATCATTAACGATGACGGGTAGCAAATTATCTAAGACATTAGCACAGTCCAAAAGACTTTGCGACGGCGGACGATACAAAACGCCAACCGCGAATTTATGTTTATCTACATTCACTTGCACAAAAAGAGTCTCTAAACATACAACACGAATATCAACATTAATAACTTTTGCATTCAAATGCGATTTAATATAAATGCCAACACCACCGCCTCGTGAGGCTCGATCACAACGGAAAAAATTGTATCCATCGACACGTACAATGTTATCAGGGATGTCGCTAGAGAGCCATGTCTCACTTACTGCTAAGAAATCAAAATTCTCAGTTTTCAGTATAGTTGTGAAAGCATCAAAATCTGATAAAAGAGACCGTATGTTTAAATGTCCAATTCTTAACTCTTTAATCTTCATAATTAACCCTATCCCTAAGATTATGATAATGAGAAATATATACTGGACATGACTTATCACCTGCCTTATGGGCTACATCAAATTTTGTATGAAACTTGATATTATGGTTAACACAGTTTTTACATTTTTGTTCCAAGATATAGAGGGGCAATGACCGACCGACGGAAATAAGTGGCAAGATCTTTTGTGATGTGCATGTATGTAACAAAGAAATAATGTATGTATCTTATTTTCTAAACTTTTCGCGAATACAATACTTCATTGCCAATTGGCGTGCGAAGTAGAACATATATTTTTTTTAAATATTAGGTTCGCCAAATATCACAGGTATCGTTGCCCTTCCGAAAGGCCTAAAATTATAATGTGTATCCTGAGCTCAACTTCATGACGCCCGCCCTACTCTCATAGCAGACCGATATTTATTGAATTTTAAACGTGGTTGCGTATGTGCATTCATTTCTGGCCTGATGATAAATATATTGTAATTCTTTATTTACGCATTTGCTGGTATTGTTCTTGTGTTTTTTTTTTCTTCAAGATGGGAAATACATTTCTGTATTGTGTTACCAATCGCTAACAGATTGGTTAAGTGTAAGAGTTGCGAACGCTAAACTTCGCCGGTCAGTTAGTCTGTTTCTAAATAAAGACGACTATTATTATTATTTTCTGGTCCTACTAACGTAAATTAAAAAAGCGGGATCAATGAGATACGAAATTTAAGCTCCTTGCGATAGCAATATTTATTCTCTGCCTTCAAGGCTGTTTCAGTAAAAAGGTGTATTTCTTAGTTTATTTACAGCATTTATATGACACAAACCAATTGGCATATTGTATTCGCTCATTATATTATCGCGTTATTTGATTACAGTTATGATTCTGTATATTCTGCTTCGGATAATCTAATGGAATGAACCCGTTAAGCTATGAAAATTCATGGAAATATTTTACAATAATACACAACATTGATATGATACATATTAACTGTTATGTTATCGGATATCAAACACTATTGCAGAGTTCTGTTTCAATTATGCTATTCAGTTTTGTGTTCCAGTAGTTTCTGTAATCTGATTTTCCATACAAGGTAGTTTAAATGGTGATACAGCTTACTGAGAGCAACAACCCTCTCCTACGAGGTCTGTAAATTAAGTGATAATTTTTAATTTTTTTATTCAAATGTAATTACAATTTTATATTTCCACCCTCAAAATAAGTTCTTTCTGAAGCTGCAAAGCGCTGGAGACGGTTCTTCCACTCCTCATAGCAGTGCTGGAACTCCGATACTGGAATAGCCTTCAGCTGGTCGGTTAAAGCAGTTTTAATGTCTTCCAAAATGAGCTTCATTGAAGTGTTTTTTCAACTTTCTGGAGAGAAAAAATTAACAATGACAAGTCGGAGGAGGCCGAGGAATGTTTTTACTGGCCAAAAATTCGTTTATTGACATTGCTGACTGACAAGGATGCAGCATTCAGTTGTTCTTGATCTGATGAACGGTGGTGTGAGTCAAATCCTCGATCATTTTGACTGTTAACCGATGATCTGTCGATATTTTCATCGGTTCTTGAAGATGAAAGCCTGTCCTTCTTGGTTCATCTTCAATCGACTCTCTCCGTTCTGAAAATGCCTTAAACCACCAAAAAACCTGGGCTCTTGACAAAAAACCGTAGGCCTGCTGAAGTTTAGCAATAGCTTCTCTTGCACCGTGTCCAAGTCTGAAGTACACCGTTGCTCGAAATTGATGGCATTTCTCTTTAGAACACAGCAGGAGAAACTGTTTCACAAAAAAAAGCTACTAACAACCAAGGCACTCGAGCGGGTTCAAACTTGTACTGATGGCGGTTTACATGTGCTACTGTCTCCCCCCAAGCCAGGCACCTCCAGTGTTGCCAGATCCAACGCTACGTTGCCAGTCCCATCAATTAATTTACAGACCTCGTACATTAGTTTGACCCCTGGTATTCAAATTAGAGAGGC